GTTTTACTTTCCCATCAATAAAATTCCAACTTCTATACTCAAGGACCCCATTCCGGATATGAATTCCTGGGGTATTTATAGGATTCCTTGCCAGTGCGGTTTTTACATTGGCCAAACTAAGAGAGCCTTAAAATTTCGCGTCAAAGAACATGAGGCATATGTTAGAAAAAGGAAACACAGAAGTCTTCTGTTTGCTCAACATTGTTGGTCCGAAAATCACACTTTCAATTTTTCTGCTGCCAAAATTATTCAAAAAACATCTTCCATTGGAGAACTGGATTTTCTAGAGGCATTTCACATTCTAAAAATCTTTCTGTTCTAGTTAACGATCCTAATTCCAATCCAAATTTGCCTTCGGCTTTTAAGAAATTATGTTTTAGTTCTGGTTTCGCCAACAGATGGCGCCACTTGCTTATTCTTGTCCAGGCTTTCTTATCTTATCTAAACATTATTTCCTGTCTTGTTCATTTGCGGTTTTGCAGCTGAAGATGATGGTTCGGTAAAACCATCGAAACTAGTCCTGTGAAAGTTTTGTAAATTAACGCTGATTTTTGTTGTTTGACTTCTGAATTAGTAAATATCATGTTTCTTGCACTTAATCCACATAAAATTTAATCCAACAAAAATATAAAATATTTTAAAACAGCATATCTTTAGAAATTTTCATAGACATTCTCGTGCGCTGGAGATAAAAGTTCCGTATGGTATTTCCCGTATGGTATTGCCATTGCTCGCTTTGAAATTGTTAAGTTTGTTAATCAAAAGTTCGTTAAAGTTTTGCAAAATATAAAATAGGTAAGAAAACAAATTCCAAGTTCGGGCTGTTAAGTGCCCACGTTAGTGTGGAGGATTACGTTATTCAAAATTGAATTGCTTTAGGTACCGTCGTTTTCTCACAGTGCGAGAAACATGCAGATTCTTCATTATTTAATTTCTTTAAATATAATACAGAGTGTCAACAATCTGAAAAGACAAACGAACATTTATAGTGAAACACCGCAAAATGCCGTTTCGAAACTAATAGCCTTTCTGGGCCGCTAATAAAATAAAATAAATTTCTGATTTCAGTATTTATTATTGAAATATTAATCTTCCATATTTAGAAACACAGCTGAACATATCTCGAAATGTAAGTATTCGTCAGAATGCGATCGCTATTGCTCTGGATAGCATGTGCCAGCATGTAATGTACGAAGAATTTGGAAACTTTGATAATAAACAATGACGTAGCGTTTTCACCAATTTTATGACATTCGCTATTCAGCTATGCTTTTTACATCACCTCTTAGTGATTAGATAAAGAAACCTCCACGAGGATGTTATTTTATCGCTTTCTTTCCATATGATTTTGTCAGCTGATCTCCATTTGCAAAATAAGTATCGATAATTTGTATCTACACTCATAGAAGTTCTAGAACTTTGTGCCTCCACAGTTTTTGTCGCAAGTGAAAGCAGTAAAACCTAAAAAAATCAGTTTATGCTTTGAAGTGAAATTTATATTACATATGCAGAAACCTCGTCAACATCCAAGCAGGTAGCTCATTCGCAGGAAACTGGGAGTTCGTGTCGAAAGACTTATGTTTAGGAGTCTCAATCACCGGTTTACTGGTAGGTACAAAAAGAATGATATTGTTCATTTCAAGCAGACTAATTGATGTTAATTAAGGTTTGCAATTTTTAATGCTTTGCTTATATATTAGTTTGTTTTGGGAAGCTTGCTATTCGATGAATTTAATTACTTTTTAGTTTTACATTAAGATGATAATTTGATTTCTTATTTGCGTAATTTCCAACTTTCGTTATTTTATGTTTTAGCGTTTGTCCACGATTGTTTAACACCGCACTATAAATTTTCGCGGCTTGTACATACACGAAAGTATTTCGTTGATTCACCGATATTAATCTCCTTGTTAAATAGTGTAATGATATGAATTCAGTACCAGTAAAATCAACAGTAAAAATAGCTGTGGAGTTTCAAAAATACTTCTTAAAATAAATCTCTGTCATCTGGAATAACATGTCACCAGGAATGCTCAGAACAGCTCGTAATATGTCTTTATAGCCGTCAAAGTGGGACCCCACCAAGATAGACTTTGAACTTCAAATAACCCCACAGAGAAAAGTATCATCTGAAGGGAGAAGTGGCCATACAAATGGAAAAAGTGAATTATGACTCTTTCTTTTGTAATGTGATGGCGCAGCCGTTGTACAGATAGATCAATGTGCGGTGGTGTGCTATAATCTGCATAAAAATTACAGGATAAAGCAACTGCCTCTACTGAAATTGTAGAAGGACAAAATTAATCAGTATATTATGATACATTTTCTTGGTAATGGTACAGATGTGTGGTCCTGTTAGAGTAATGTTCTCAAAAAAGAAGGTCCTTCGCGGACCTTCTTTTTTGAGAAATCCGCTGTAAAGCGGCAGCAAACACTGACTTTTGGTGAATGCAGTGATATTTCATGAACTGCATATAATTGTTTACATGTCCAAATTCGAGAGCAGTCTTAGGGAAAATGGGCCTCATCCCCAGTAAAGAAGTATCCATGTCCAAGTATCGTCGACCTTTATCCTGGCAAGACATGTCAGAGTAAATGCCACTCATTTATCACCATCGTTGTAATTTAATTCCTGGACGCGGTTTACCTATTATGAGTAGAAGTGAAAATTTTTATCAAAAATTTGCCAGACCGTTGAAAAATTCAAATCGAATTGTCGCCCTATTCCCCGGGCATTGCTACTACCAGCAATTTCTCATGTGAACAGCCACCAACTGATGTCGCTGCATCAATAGCCGTCTCTTCTGATACCGGTTTGTGTCCTCTAGCAAACCGAACTGCTAGGATCCTACTTCTCCAAAGACCTACCAGAAGTCGCTGAACACTGGTAATTTAGTCCTAGGTTAGAACCTCGAGAAAAAGCCCGCTGCATGGGCGTTTTTCTGGTTTTCCGCATGTGTAACATGTGTATACGAGGCAGTTGCCCTCAGAAAGTCCTCCTCTTCTCTTAGGTAGATAACCCTCGAGGCTTTGCCATAATCACATAAACCAAACCAAACCAAACGTATTTCTTCAAACTTCTGAATCCTGCCTTACAATGCATTAATAAATAGTGGAACTTTATTTAGGGTTGTTACGACTTCTAAGCTCACGAAGAGCGGTGGTTGCATTTGGTTGCTGGAGATAAAACAACTGAACAAGTACCTTGCGCTGAGGAAAAGTGGAACAAGTAACATTCGGATTGCCTCTGATGTTTTCCCCATATTTTTATAAATTTCCTTAAATTCTTGCCTTACTTTTACTGAATTATTAACGTTGCTATCATTATTGATGAGTTATTGTTGTTGATGTAAGCGAATATTTGCATTTTTAGATTTTACGTGCGTTTCACGCAAATTGGCATTTCAAGTGATACCGACCGAGCTGTCGATGGCTCTGAGCAGTGTCCAAAGCAAATACCCTCTATATTTGACACAATTGTTAAATTCAAAATAATTTTTTACCATCTTTAAATGTCAGCGGTATTTATAGCATGCTAAATGAAACTTAGAAGACTGAATCGCTAATTTTGTCAACACTAGCCGGCGTGAAGATAAATTAATAACTGATTCATAAATTTTTATTGATTGTGCATGGAAATATATTAGAGTCTAAGCTCCATAAATTAACTAAAAAGGAATTATGGCCTTAAGTTGGATTATAGGTGCATTTCGTTATTTTACATGTATTGCGATATTTAACGATATATTAAAACGCGAATACTATAGGCAACTTTCGAATACTTGTAATTCAAACATTCATTCACTAATATAAGTTTTTAAAAATTTAGTGTTCAAAAGCAGCTCATCACCAAAATTCAGAATACACCCCTGATTTTACATTTCTTCGTAGGCCCTTGATTTATTCTTCAAATCTGAATACTGTTTCAAATTTTAGAGGCAGAGAAACTTTAAAAGTTTATGTTCTCAATTCCAGAGTGATTAACAGCTGTGAGAGAAGAGAGGGAACAATTTATTTCCAAACAATTTATTTTTTTCTTCCCCTTCTCGTTTGCAGTCAATTTAAATAATACTGATGTTTAAAATTAGGCAAAAAAGAAGATTTAAATTGATGTCAATTTTTAATAAAACTCTATGGATTTCGAGAGAATCTTCTGCAGTAGAAACATTCTTTTGCTTAAAAATTTATACCATTGTAAGGTTGCTTTTTTGCTTAATTTAAAATTTCACTTTGATATTTTAAAAATATGTTTATTAAATAAAAAACATACTTTTATGTCAAAAAAATTTTTAATTTAGCCAAAAAGGTGACGTTTAGTTAGACGTACATTTTGATTAAACTGCTGTTCAAATGAGACACATGTCTGTCGTCTTCAGAAGCAAAAATGACTTTTGGTTCTGCAGACCTGTATCTATTCGCCTTTGAAGTCAATAGTTTATTCAAAACCTACGTCAAGCAAAGTTTGCTTGTTTACATAATTTTCAATATTCTGATATATCCCGAATTGATCTGTAAATAGCAGCAAGAAAGATAATGACTTTGCCTATTAGCTTTAGAGAATATTGCATAGTGCAATTATAAAACCAGTAAATAGTTTCATTATCATCCATAAGACTACTTATCAATAAAACTACTTGTATAAATGAAACGCCTAATTTCATAAATTAATACTCTAATGTGAATCTCTTTAATTTTCTACGCTGACCGCTTTCTTAAAAATATAAATTAAAATAATAATAATAATAAAACGCTATAAATTTTCCAGACCAGGGAATTTTATTTATGATACAATCGAAAAAAGGAATATTTATCGTAAAAATGCTGCCGAAAGTAAGTTCCTATTATGAGTGTGGGCCCCCATTCCTAAATAGTAACTTTGTTAGTACTGCCATCTAGCGCCAGAATGTGAATCACGATAGTTTTAAATTAAAACAATAGATGTCGCTCCTTTCTCCGAATCATTTATTAATGCTAGAAAGACAGGTGCAGTAGTGCGCCATCTCTCTGCTCTCTACGGAGATTTTCATATCGGCAAATGGCAGCAGTGCTGGCGGAGTTTCATCCGGAAGTGGAAAATTTTCCTCAAGAATGCAACGTTCTAAAACTGCTAAATTTAAAGAATTTCTAAAGATAATTCTTGATTCCATCTCCCCTCTGAAGATAAGGAAATAAAAGTAAGTTTTACTTGCATTAAAACAAATTTATTGTTTATTTATGTGTGTTTCCCGTTCCGTTTTCAATAGAAATTTTTTATGTGTAATGTGTGTAAAACAATGGTTTAAGGAGTATTATAATTAAATCTAATTTCCACAATTTAATTTGATTTATTTTTCCTGTATTGTTGTACTGCATGCAGCTGTCCAGAAGTGACCTCATTTAATCCTTTGTGCACATAATTATTGATTTAGTTTGCGCCTGTTAATAATAAATGTATTAAATGTTATTTTTATGGAGATTTTATTTCTAAATTAGGAGTGCGTTTCGTAACTTCTTTTAACTATATGGTTAAGAGCACATTAACTGTTTTGCACGTGCGCGAATTATAACAAAGTAATATATTATTAAAAATGTTATGAAAGGTAAGTGCTTTTTTCTTCTCTTTTTTTCGGGGGGGGGATATTATTTCAAAAAATTTCTAAATATGCTTTTTCTTAGTTAATTGAATTTGAGAATATATTTTTATTAAAATGTGTTAATCAAATTAAGCATGTTTATCAATAAGAAAACTTTGAAAAAGATACTATAAAATAATTTTAAAATGAAAAACCCGCTGATTGTCTTATATTTTATAATATCAAACCCATAAAACAGAGCGCATTTGTACAAAATTTAAAGCGTTTGCGTGATTTAAAAAAAAAAAAAAAAAAAAAAAAAAAAAAAAAAAAAACATTATTTGCATTATTGCTGTTGCTTTTTTATGATGAAATGATGTATAAAATATTGAAAGCAAGTAACAGGAAGAGTTACTGAAATATTCGGCTTAGACAAGCTGATTTCATTCACATTTGTCTTAGGTATAGGAATATTATACACGGTAGCATCTTTTATAATATACAGGGAAAATTTAACTTCTTGTTGTCCCTAAAAATATTTTAAGAATGAACTATAGTTCTCATTATTCCTACTTCCATGAATCCCGAATGATTAAGACAGCCGAATACTGATACTTTTGTCTAGGTTCTAACTTCGGCTAAAGAGCTGGCTGCATAGGATTTTCAGTCTTATCATAGCTACGCGAAAACGAATTGGTTTATGTTAGTTAATCCTTTACGAAGGTTACAGCCGAAAACATCGCGGACGAAAACGTCGCGGAGAAAACAACGCAAGGCGAAACATCGTGGGAGAAAACATCGCAGTCCTAAAACATCGTGGTACAAAACATCGTCGTCGAAAATATCGTGGTAAAAAAAAATGTATCTACAAATCATCGCATGACGATAACATAGCAGACATGCTTTTTTTAGGCTTTAATAACTGTAAATGGATATTCCTATAATGATTTGTAAGCGCAAGATGGACAGAGGGATAATTTTTACTTTCATATTTTTATTCACTAATAAATTTTTGCTGATAAAATAAGAAGGAAACTTAAGCATGGAAAATTAATGCAACTTATAGCACTCAATAGAATTTTAAACCAACATAGTTCACTAACAAAGGCCATTAATAAATCATTTTTATAAAGTTTTTACTGGTGATTTTTCATGAAAAGTATAATCTATAAGTTGCATTTAATTAATTAATGCAATAATTTAACTTTTTCAGCAAAAATTTATTAGTCAATAAAAAACTGTGAAAGTAAAAACTAACCTTCTTTACATCTTGCGCTCACAAATCCTTATGAGAACCATATTTCCATTTACAGTTATTAAAGCCTGAAAAAAGCATGTTTGCGATGTTATCGTCATGCGATGATTTGAAGATACTTTATTTTTTACCACGATATTTTCGACGACGATGTTTTTAAACTGCGAAGTTTTTGAACCGCTTTATTTTCGACGACGATGTTTTGTACCACGATGTTTTAGGGCTACGATGTTTTCTCTTTGCGTTGTTTTTTCCGCGACGTTTTCGTTCGCGATGTTATCGGCGGACACCTTTACGAAAGCATCCTTCTTCTTAGGCAAATGTCGCCGGTATGCTCTGTCGTGCTAAACCTAATCTAACCTTCTTTGAATGGTTCTTAAATTTAAAGTTCCAAACTGTCCTGCCCACCAGTGGTTGAATGGATGAGATCACTGAAGACTCGTAAATCGGGTTCAAATCTCACACAGCGGGTAAGCTACGTGGATATTATTGTGGTTGTTTTCCGTATAGTAACTACCAGACGGTTTTCCTTGAAGTTTCTGCTCCAAAGGCGTTCTTCACTTGACATATAGATCGCGTGTGTTGTGTCTTATTTAAAATTAACTGTTCTGTCCTATACTTCACTGCTTCAACAGAACTATGACAAACCAAATCTTTTTCATAAGTAACTAAACATTTATCTCGGCAATGTAAAAAGGCAAAATTGATAAAACATTTTTCTGACTTTTTCCCTTCATGTTTAGATTATAAATATAGTAAAAAAAATTGATTCAATTACATTTTTTAAGCTTTTAATTTTTTTACCTAAGAATATGTTACTTTTTTTTTACATGTTACCTTTTTTTAAATTAAAAAAATAATGCTTAGGGGGAAAAAAGGTACTTTATTAATGCAACCACCTTGGCTCAATATGAGGATTTTTTTACATACGAAAAGGTTAAACTTACTTATTGGATACAAGTTGGTGATTTACGTGGACTTTTTAGAAAACTTTTCAAGCTATCTGTAGTTATCGTGTCCGCAAACGTTATCAATATATCAAAAGAAAACATACGTTACCAACTTGACATACAAATTTGAATTAGTAAATAAGAATTACGTGATAAATAAATAAATAAATCACTTATATTCTTCTCCGTATTTTTCTGCAAATTTTTGTGCTATTTTGCTTCCGAAGTACACAGCGATCCGTTTTCTTTTCAAAAGAATGAGAGAAATAAGGAACTTCGGCATCATACAAACTTCGGCAACACCGACTACCTACCTAACACTCTACCTACTACCTACCTAAAGCCGACTATCTGCTCGTTGTTTCTTTTAGAGATTTTTGTATCATAATTATGTATATTTTATCGCAGTTTCTTCCATTGCGAGCAAATTCTGTAAGTGCATAATTTTAAATTGAGTTTACGGCAAAATATATCGCGAGCTGCCTACAAAACCTGTGGAAGTTGGAACAAAATAAAAAGAACACATACGAAAATGGCGACTTTGCTTGGTTACAAAAGAGATTTTATGTCAAGTTCCAATTTAGTCAACTTCATTCTCAAGTCAACACCATCAACCGCTAAGAGATTTTTCATTTCAGGTTTGTCGCTTAATAAAATAACTAAGAATACCAAATAGTTGTATAAATCATTTCAAGCAGCGCGAAGCATCTTTCGAGGTAGTGGTGCTTTCTAATGATTTACAGAACGACATTTCTTCGGCAAAATCACATTTATCAATATATCTTACGTACGTTTCGTTGATCAGGAATTGTTGGCATAAAAGACAAAAAGGTGACCGTTCAGCGGGTATGAAACCAAATTTTAAATATTTCACCCAATACTAACGAACTTTTTTCTTGCTTGCACCACTCATTTCACTTACGGCTGAAAGAAAGAAATACAAGATCAATTAAAAACTTTGTCACATTGCTAAATATAAGCAAACCTGAAAGCCACTGCTTTTGCCATTCAAGGGAAGAATAATATACCTGTGTTTAAAATGCACGGCAATTTAAAACCTTTTTTACGTATACATCATTTACATGACTCTTTATTTTTAGGAATAAAAAATTGAATTCCGACTTCTTGAAGAAAATTGGAAATTTGAACGTCCGTTGTCCCCATAAATTCTGGACAAGTTCGTTTTGGAATTGCCCCCTATGGAGTATGGGCCCCACGTTGGAAAACTCTGATCTGGATTAATTTGGAATTTATTAAGACAACTGGTACTTGTTTGTGATTCGACTTCTGCCAATATATCACGAACAATTTGTTGGCGCCTTTTGGAGATAAGATCTGAGTTTCTAATCACCAACTCGGATTATTTTAGAAATCTCTTCCTAAATGACATCAAAGAGATTGTTATTCTCTGAAGTTTGTCGTCGCTTCCATATGAATTGCGGCAAGCAAGATGGCAAGTCACGACGAGTACATATTTTGACTTATTGCTCAATTTTACTGATGCACATATACATTCCATGATGGCTACGTACGGACGTTAAGATCGAAACTCATACTGAAATAAAAAAGGAGCCTTCCTTACTCTTCTTTAAGTCCCCCTCCGAAAGCATTAGACAGAGTGAACATTAACAAGGAAAGAAAAATCTTATCTTATTAGGAGAATGCGGAATACTTCTAGGTTTCCCGAAAGCTTACACGAATTTGAGTCACGGATGACACTTTTGGTCATGTATCAGAGGGTAATGAATAATCAAATACCAGAAAATCCGACATAGCAGTATAAATATTTACCGTTTGAAAAAATTAAATTGGGATTAAGAATAAATTAGTCCGAAGCATGTAATGCAGCATTTGCCTTGATTACCTTTACAGCTGAACCTCTCTTAACCGACAATAAAAGGAACCACTTCCGGATACCAGTTTCGTATAAATATTTCGAGAAATTTAATTCCATCAAAATAAATCGCACATGAGATCTCGGGATCATGATTCTCAGTCTATAGCTCATAAGTAAATGACGTCCAAAATCATGTTTTCTTTCTTTAAAGTTAATCCTTTGTACTCGAGGCTTTTTTTGCCCGAGCGACCAGCAGTTCAAATCGATTTCCCGCATATTTGATGAATTTCTTACTGAAAACTTAAAATGATTTCGCACACAATTCAATGAAATCTAGTGTCTCTTTCTTGTATGAAGGTCTTGCGGTCCTGAGCCTCTTTCGCCGGATACATACGGTATTTTCTTCAGATTCCGTACATGTTATTTATTATTCTGAAATTTCTCTCTCTTCAGCGGAATCACTGTCGCTTTCACATTCACTACCTTTTACTACCTTGATTTTCGCCTTCTTACAGCCCTTACATCTTCATCACAGCTTTCCTGCTCTCTATCGTTAAGTAGTCTACATACAACCGTAATT